TATAAAGATAATAATTAAGTATTATGTTAGAACTCAATGATTATCCTAATTATATTTTATATTTTTTATATTTAAAATTAGATGTTTATCTTGTATTTGATTATGTTTATCTTGTAGTTAGTTACACGAATTCAGATATGGAACTTTAATAAGTTGTGCTTACGCACAATCTACTTGCAATCTTGAGTTTTAAGTAATATGCATTAATAAACAATATTTTACGCATAAAAAGTGGTTTTTAAGAGTTTTTGTCAAATGCTTTATAATATTGTATAATTTTTTATATTATAATTTGATTTAAATTTAATAATAAAATAATTTATTTTTTGTTTAATATTATTAATTTTATAAAGATAATAATTAAATATTATGTTAGAATTCAATGATTATCCTAATTATATTTTAGATTTTTTATATTTAAAATTAGATGTTTATATGTAGTTAGTTACACGAATTCAGATATGGAGCTTTAATAAATTGTACTTACGCACAATCTACTTGCAATCTCAATCTTAAGTTTTAAGTAATATGCATTAATAAACAGTACTTTATGCATAAAAAGTGGTTTTTAAGAATTTTTGTCAAATAATTTATAATATAATATAGATTCTAAAAATTTAATCACTCCAAACATGAAAGTTAATTGGATTTATTAAAACTTTCCTTACCATACCCGTAAAACATTTACCTTATATTTATAAAATAATATATATTGACACATAATATAATTAAAAAGATTATGCATTTATGGGATGTGTAAACTGTCTTTAAAATAAATTAAACTTATTTGACCAATCAAAATCATGAACCAAATGCATATTTTATTTTATTTTAGGGTCTGTTTATCAAATGCTTACTTGAATAAATGCTTACCAAGTTATATTAAATTATCAGATGAATATGATAAGAACCAAAAATCTTACCGGTAAGAACGAGGCAAGGACCGAGAGTCTTACCCGGTAAGTGAGGGCAATGACTCTTACCACATTAAGCTCTTACCGGGTAAATTATTTGCATAAAAAGCCGTTTTTGTTGACTAAAACCTTACCCGGTAAGTTAATAATAATATTGAATTTTTTGGGTAAGTGTTTACCGGGTAAATGTTTGGTAAACGGCTCCTTAACTAAAAAATAATTCAAGTTTTAAGAAATTCAGCATGGATACTCTTTTGAACGAGATAAGACTAAACTTAAACAATTTTATAATAAATAATGAACTTTAATTCCATCTTGAACTCGAGTCTCGCAGCTGTTGAATGCACTTTTAGAGACTCAACTAAACATCACTAGTTTTCAATTCTTTGAGAATCGATGCTCCAAACCCCGTATGGTTTTCGATTTTGTTGGTTTGAAGTCGGCTATGTTCACCTTTACTATTTTTATAATTAATGTATTTGTATCAAATACTCATAAAAGTTTTCTTTTTCAAAAAGTAAGACTCATTTACATCAAAAAAATATTTGAAACCGTTTGTAACACTCTTGAACCTACGGGTGTGCCGCATTTTGGTTTTGAATTTTTTTTTTATCGAACATACATTCAAGTAATAGAAACATTTTATATTGCAACAAGATCAACTAACATCATCAAGGCTAAGAAGTTGTTTACTGTCTCTTACCGAGTGAGAGGTGCTTAACCAGTCGTATATGTTAATATTTAACGTGGCCTCTTTTGATTCCAAAGTATCAGTCAATGATTGCTTGATTGCCCTCGTTTATTGGTAGAATGAATGTTTGCATGTGGTGCAAGAAATAACAATCTACTTTCTATCTTTTTTTTGTTTATAGCATTTTACTTTCATCAGTAAGATATTTTCAAATTATATTTTGAAAAATCTACCCATATAGAATATGTAACATGCTGATTTGAATTTCACGGATATGATATAAATTATAGATTGTTATGTCATGTTATTGTCCATATGAGATGTCTCTCTGTAATATTATTGATGTGGCATTTCTTTTTAAAACATTTTACTTCTTTTTTCTTATTTAGATATTTCACATTGAATCAAACAAGTTTGTAAAAACTTACCATTTCATTAATTAAACATGTTTATAAAAGATCATCTTTTATTGAACTAAAAATGTCAACAAAAGGGTACCAATTGATTGTAACGTTTCTGTAACACCACACTTCACATACTTGCATATAAACATTTACTTCATTCAAAAGAAATACGGATTACACCACATAGGTCCAATTAGTACAAGAAACTTATATACATAATTTACAATCCAAAAACTTCAAAACAAAGTTCTTGCACTATCACATGTATCACAACATATATTTTCAAAATACATCAATCAACAGGTTGATCTTCAAAAACAGCAGATAAATACATAAGAAAAATAATCATATTTCCCCTTCCCCTTATTATCCCGAGACCCTGCTGATCCTACAATGCATATTTTAAAATACAAAATGAGGGTTAGACCTGATGGTCTAGTGAGATACCCTTTCTTTAAAATTATAGGGTGAAAATCACCGAAACTAATTTCCAATCAAAATAATATTATATCAAACGATGCTCATAAAATTAGTTATTGAATTCAGACAATACTTTATTCAATAAGTGTCCTTATCGATCAAAACTTGGTCAATTAGTAATCATAAGGACCAAAGCCCCTTTGGTCCAGCAACCAGAGCTTTTGGTCTTACCAATCAGAACCCCTCTGGTTCAACAACCAGAGTAAGCCCCCCCTTTAAATCAGGTTCACACAACCTAAGAAAACAAAGATAAAACTGAGACCCTCTGGTCCCACAAACAGAGCTTCTGGTCTTACCAACCAGAGCTCCTCTAACAAAAGACAAAGAATCATAGAAATAACTTCACAACAAACTTGAATTCCTCATATGACCAGATGTAAACATCCAAATTTCTAATATTCCCAAATTATTTGCTAAGTATGTTTAATTATTATGTTAAAAGGATATTATGTGAGAAGTTGTGAAGCATGTTATGTCAAAATTTTACTTGGTGTTCTAGTAATGTCCATATAAGAGAGCCTATAATTTAGTGGTTGTTCGGGTTTGAAGTATTAGAATTATACTTCTTAGGAGAATATGAGAGGATTTAGGAAATCTTCACGTCAAATATATATGTAAAACTAATTTTGTTGGGAGATCTTTTCTGAAATATTTTTGTTGGAGGTTATAGATTATCTCTTTATGAACGTGTAGGCGAAAACCTTATAGAAAACGGAGGTTCGAGCGAAAAATTATGAATATTTTAAGTGTTAATAGTCAAAATGGGTACCCAATCGGGTCAACCCGACCCAACTCAGGATTTAGCATAGAAA